AGAGACGGATCAGTGGTTAAGAGCACTGAAGACCCAGCTTCAGCCCCCAACACACAAGTGTGGCACCTCACAACTGCCTTTGGCTACTGTTCGGGGAATCTGATGCTCCCTTCCAGCCTCCTCAGGTGCACATGCATGCATACACACGCACACACACACACATGTGCACACACATACACTCATGCATGCACACACACATGATGTATTTTAAAACTCTTCTCTAGGGGCTGGGGAGATGGCTCAGTGGTTAAGAGTGCTATCTGCTCTTCTAGAGGTCCTGGGTTCATTTCTTAGCACCTCCATAACAGCTCATGACCCTCTGTAACTCTAGTTCCGGGCAATCCAGTGCACTCCTCTGGCCTGTGGGAGCACCAGACATGCATGTGGCACACAGACAAACATATAACCAAAACATCCATACACATAAAATATATTTAATCCCAGCACTCAGGAGGCAGAAGCAAAACAAAGCATATCTCTGAGAGTTCAAGACCAGCTTGGTCTACAAAGTGAGTTTCAGGACAGCCAAGCTGTTACACAGAGAAACCCTGTCTCTAAAAACAAAGTTCTGTATGTGTGTGTGTGTGTGTGTGTGTGTGTGTGTGTGTGTGTATTTTTCTTAAAACTTACCAAGGTGACCTGACTCCCCAACACCTTGCTAATAACACCTTGGGGTAGCAGGGAGTGAGAGCATATGACCAGATTCCTGAGGGTCAGGGTGTTCCTGCTATTGGCCATGTGATTGTAGGAACAGAGTTGGAGAGTCCAGATGAAGGACACCAGAGTTGGTGCCCTTGTTCCCAGAGCCAGCATGCCTTCTGATCACAAAGAGACGCCTCATCTCAGGGGCTGGGTCCTGCTATGGGGAAGTCACGGCACGGGCCCCTCAAAGTTCAAGCACCAAAGATGAAAACAGCATAGCTGCCCGTGAGATGAACGAACGAGAAAAGGAACGATGCAGATCTTGTTAGGTAATGCTGCGAGTTCCGTGAGATAACCCCAGTGCATACACGGCGCTTGGGCCTAGAAGGAACTCAGACACTGGTCACTTCCTCCTGCCACCTCCTCACCTCCATGAGTCAGGCACAGAAACTGCTCCCTGGGGAGGGGGAGCCATTCTCTTTAGTGGTGTAGCCGTTGGTCAGTTGCTCAGGAATAAACACCCCCATGTTCATACAAACAGCCCTAATTAAACTCAGTAGGTCTCACACCTAAAAACACATGAAGATAGAAGGGAGACCCATTGGAAAGGAGAGTTAGGAGAAACGGGAAGGGGGATAGAGAAGGTAAGGGGGGAGCAAATATGATCAAAATATGTTATAACCATGCATGACATTATCAAAGAATGAATTTTAAAATTCTCACAGTTTCGTTTCTACTTTCAGGATGTACACACACACACACACACACACACACACACACACATGATTTGTGGATCTATTTAAAATCCAGAATCTACAAATAAGAGGGAAAGAAGTATTTGCCTCTCAGAGGCTGACTCTGTTGGCTTCCTATGACAATCTCCAGTTGTTTCTGCTCTTCTTCAAATTATATAATTTTGTTCTTCGTCATGGCCAAATAAAATCCCATTGTGTATGGTTGCGAGGAGGAATAGGAGGGAAGGAGGAAGGGAGGGGAGGAGGAAGGGTGGAAGGGAGGGAAAAGCAAGCCCCATTTCCTTTCCTTTGCCACATAGGACTAGTCTTGTTGGCCTGGCATGTCTTCTTTCTACACAGTGCTCTGTCCTGTCAGTCTACCGGCTCCAAGGTCAAGGCAAACAGTGCTGCACTTGGTAGTGGACAGAAGGGGGCCATGCTGACCCCCCCACCTCCTCTGTGGAAAGCTGCTGGCAGGAGTGGTCACTCTGTCCCCCTGCTGCCCAGCAGCTGAGCAGCCCTGTTACATCACAGCCCACACACCCTCTGCCTGTCAGCCACCTGAACAACACCCCCGGCCCTGGCCAGCGTGGCTGTGATGCACCGTGTGTGTGTGTGTGTGTGTGTGTGTGTGTGTGTGTGTGTATGTGTGTGCGCCTCTGGCTCCTAGCTTGGCCCAGGGGCCCAAGGGGGCCTGTGCTTCTCTCACCGTGAAGCCCTGTTGGCCAGATGCCAGGGAACTTTAGGATCTGCCTTAGATGATCGTGGTCAAGTGATGCCCAGGGGCTGTGCAGGAGTAGGTACCAGTCTGAGAATCAGATGGCTTTGCCACCGACTCTTGGAAACTCGGGGCCCATTTCCTAAGGTCTTTAGCATCTGTGAAATGGGGGTGTGAATTGCACACGCAATGAGGGCATGTGTGTGGGTGTGAGGCTCTCAACACCATGTGCTCGGTGGGGAATGACAATGAATGGGACTTCTTAAGAATGGCTCTTCCTTGCTAGTCGTCACAAAGCCGGGCCAGATGTTCTGCTATTGTTATTTGGTTTTTGTTTTGTTTTGTGATTTTGCTTTTGAGATGGGCTCAGCATGTAACCCAGGCTACCTTTGAGCTTGAGGTCATCCTGTCTCAACCTCTTTAGTGCTAGGACTACAAGCCTGAACCATCACACCTGGTGACCAATGCCTGGCTTGAAGGAACCCATAGAAAGACAACATCATCTCATGTCACCGTGGTTCTGTAAGAAGCACTAAGCAGGGTACAATTAGGGTTCCAGAAGTTGGCTACTCACGGTTCAGAAAGTATGCCTTTCGGCTGGAGAGGAGATAGTCAGAAGGTAGGCAGATGCTGGACCGTGGGGTGAAGCCTGGTCCGGGCTGGAGTGGGGGCGTGGCGATGAGGAGAGAGGGTATGAGGGTGTAAGGACCATGTCAGGACTGCAGTGGGTAGATGGCAGGAGACCTTCCCTTGACTCCTGGCTTCCTGAACAAAGGGGGAGAAAAGATGATCCACACCTGGTGTTTGCCCAAGATGAAGAACAGTGCTGTCCACATGAAGACTCACACGCTGAATGTTTCCCACAACTTTATCTGTAGTAGTTACCGCTAGAAATAACCCAGGTGTCCACTGACGGGTGACTGGATTAATACATTGTAGCAAAGCTCTCTGAAAGGAACATGTTTAGGAAATAAAGACAGAAGGAAAAAATAAGAGTTGGGAAGGTGGGAAGAAAGAGAAGATGGTAGAAGAAGCGGAAGAAAATGAGCCACAAGTCTGCTCAACTACACAGATGGATCTCCCAACATGGATGATTCTCAGAATCATCACGCTGAGAGAAGCCTTGTGAGACGGACGTCATGTGATTCCAGTTTACAAAGTTCTCAAAACACAGCTAACCTGAGGCAAGAGAAGGCACACTGTGGTTATCTGGGGCCAGGGTCGCTCGAGGCAGGGGAAGCAGAGGAAAGTTAGAGGCGGCTAGGGAAGGGATCAGTCAGTGTCTTCAGCAGGTGGTGGCTTCCGGGCATGCAGATCTGCAACGCACAGGTGTGTAGGTGTGCAGGTGTGAGGAATGTGCAGGGGCCGCTGGTACTGCGAGCCCCAGGACTCCCTGGCTCCAGTCACTAAGGCAGGACTGAGGTGGGACAGCTCTAAAGGGGGGTCTGCATCTGCGGGGCTGCTTGGGTCTTTTCAGTTCCTTTCTCTGCAGAGTCAACTCTCTGTTCCCAAGTCCAAGATCAACCAGGCTCCTTCAGGAATCACTGCTGAGAAGGCTCAGCCCACGTCTCCAGATCTCAGCATGTCAATGGCAGTATAAGTTCTCATCAGCCCCAACAAGACCAGTGCCTAGTGGAATGACACCATTCGACTTTGTTTCCAATGGCTTTCAAGTGTGGTCCGAGGGAAGGTCAGAGTCCCCTCTGCTCCCTACAGCCACACCCGGGTCAGGTCACCAAGACTCTGACATGCAGCCAGTGATGAGAGGAAGAAGGGGGTGAGCAGGAAGGTGTTTTGCAGGAGGCTATCACACATACATACATACATACATACATACATACATACACACACACACACACACACACACACACACAAAGACTGTCCCCAGGGCACCTGGGTATAAGGGAAACTACACCTTACTCTGTGCTTAGTAGGAAATGGGAGTAGCAAGGCTGCAGGAAGCCAAGTCCACCTGTCTTTCTAGTGTCCAGCATGCAGCAGGTACTGGGGATCCTTCTTAAACAGCAGTGGCTGGCCAGATGCATATGAAATCAAAGTAAGAGCCAGTGTCACTGTTCCTGGGTACAGTCCCTTGTTATGCCCTCCCCCACCATCCATCCAAAATCTCCGTGACCCTGTTATGTCACCTACTAGTGTGTGAGACCCTGAGAGGTGTGAACCCCAAGCTGGCTGGTCCTTGTCCAGGGCCACTTGCCCTTAGAGTTGCTGTTCAATTCAGGGGCTAAGTTGGACTCATCTGGACCTAGCCCTGACCTCCCAAAGAGGCTTTCTGAGTTCATTTCTATGACCTGACATTTGGGGGGCAGAGTTTACTCAGTGGGTTTCTCTCCCCAGCGACTGGACTACCTACAGCAGGCTCTCACCACCTGCCACCAGCCCATCTCTCCAGAGATACCAACCAGTTTGTCCTGTCTAGAGAGAAGCCACCTGGGTTCCAATGTCAGCCCAACATCCCTGAGCTGGTGTATTTGAACAAGACATCTAATCTTTGAAAGTCTCAGCTTTCCCATCGGTGAAATGGTCCCGGCACATTGGGCTCCTACTGAGTGTGGACTCAGTTCTTGGGAGCGATTCCCTACCCCCAATGCAGAAATCAGGGCTCGGTTGTCTGGGATGCTCCTTCCTGTGGGGAAATCTCACCTCACAAGTCCAAGGTCAACCTCTGTGACTCCGATGATAACGGCCTGGAATTTGTGAACTTTGGAATGATCTTTGTTGGGTCACAGCTTGTCTCCGCCTCTGTGGCCTCACCTAGGATGGGCTGTGTTCCAGAGGCTGCTGGAGCTCACGCTTTGCAAAATAAACAAAAGCCTGGCTGGCTCCCGGGACAGTTTCTGGTGAATCAGTGGGACAGTTTATAAACCCTCTTAAGTAATCAGCGACTGTCTTGGGGTTTTCCCCTCGTTCCAGGATGTGACATGAAAGCCTGCTGCTTCCGATGAGACCGGTCCCAGCGTCACCCCTCGGGTTGCGTCAGTCACCAGCCAGTGGGGAGCGAAGGGCTGAGCTGCTGAGACAGGTGCTTCAGGAGGTGACACAGGCAGCGCAGAGGCTCCTGAAAGCGTGACCGGGGATTTCCACGCAGGGCCAGTTCTTGTTCTTTTGTTGTTACTTGAGTATGGCACTGTCACCCCAGGACAGATGTTCCATGACCCACAGTCATTCCCGGGGATGAGATGCATGCTTCCCGTGGCTGAAGGGCTCACTCCGCGCACAGAAGATACCAGCCGAACGGGTGAGCATTTACCAAGTGCTTACCATACATCCAGCAAGGGTCTCGGTTCTGGTCCCAGGATGGTAGCTTGAGTCAGGGATGGAGAGGACTCCTCTGAGGCAGCTCTACCCTGTCTTAAGGTTTCTGGGCAGACTCAACCCTGCTTTACGATGCTCTTCTGTGATCTGGAATCCATCCTGTGAAGTAGACAGCACAGCCATGGAAGATGCTCACATCAGGCGAGCGCTAAGGAAAAGCCTTTACCCACCAGGGTTGCCAGCTCCCTGCAGAGCCGCAAGGCCTGCAGCTACCTGCTGGCTCATGGTACCCACAAACACGGATCCCACAGCTGCACTCTTCACCCATATTCCTTGTGTGTTTAGACCTATTTATTTATTTGTTTGGTTGGTTGGCTGTGTGTGTTTTCCTGAGACAGGGTCTATCTGTCCTGGACTCTCTCTGTAGACCAGGCTGGCCTCAAACACACAAAGATCTTCCTGCCTCTGCCTCCAGAGAGCTGGGATTAGAGGATTAAGGCCTGTGCCACAACACCCAGCTTTGATTATTTTTTTATTTTTAATTTCATGAATGCATGTGTCTCTGTATGCGATTTTATGCACCTGTGAATACAGTTGCCTCCTGAGGCCAGAAGAAGGGGGTGGGATCTCTTGGAGCTAGGGTTATATAGGCAGTTGTGAACTGCCCAGTGTGGGTGCTGGGAACCAAACTTGGATCCTCCGGAAGGACAGTAATGTTCTTTTTAAGTGTTGCACCATCTCTGCGGCCTCCTTTTTCCTGTTTTAAATCGAGAGCTCACAGTCCACAAAAGCATTCTTTCAGTATGTTATGACTTCCGTGGATGTTATTGCCTTCGTGATGCCAGGCAACCATCACCGCTGCCTAATGTGCAAGGGCTGTCATCAGCCTCCAAAGCACCTCCGTCCACGTTGTCGCCACTCCCCGCTCTTCACCCCAAGTCTCTTCCAGCTGTTTGCCTCGCCCATATTTCTGTAGACATGCTTATTCTGGATATTTCATATCATTTGGGTTCATGTACTAGGTGACCTGCATCTAGCCTCGGCCACTGTCATATTCGTAAGGCACCCCTATGTTGTAGCGAATATCAGTACTCTATTCCTGTTTATTAACAGTGAGTATTCCGCCGTCTGGATATCCCGCAATATCACTTATCAGGTGACAGACGTTAGATTGCTTCCATCTTTTGTCTGTTAGGAATCATGCTGCTGTGGATGTCTGTGAATGTTTTTGTGTGAACACAGGCTGGCCATTCATTTGATAATGTGCCTAAGAATGGAGTTGCCTGGTGTCGGGGTGCACTGTGTTGTTCAAGTCAATTGAAGTCACTCCAAGATGGAATGTTAAGGCCTGTGTGGCATTAGGACGGTCCAGCCTCATCTTACTGGAGGAAAGCATCATGTGCCCCATGACTCTATTATATCCTTTATTATGTATCCTTTGCAATACACAATAATACAAGAGCCTCAGGTGTGCCTGAGGTGTCATGTGACCAAAGTCCTGGGCCAACTACAATGTTCCTTCAGCAAAACAATTCTACAGATAATGGGAAACAATCCCTGTTTTCCACAAGGATTCTTCAAGGTCAAAGTACTTCTGGGAAAAAAAATGGTTATTCTTTCTAATATCTACCCTGATACAGTGGCTCTGCTAAATTCCTACAGCATCCTGGGTCATCTGATGAGTATTTTTCAAGCCTTTTAATTTTTCAGTTTTTGTTTATTTTAAATTTTAAAATTATTTTTTAAAGATTTATTTATTATGTATACAGCATTCTGCCTCCATCTATGCCTGCAGGCAAGAAAAGGGCATCAGATCTCATTACAGATGGTTGTGAGCCACCATGTGGGTGCTGGGAACTGAACTCAGGACCTCTGGAAGAGCAGCCAGTGCTCTTAACCTCTGAGCCATCTCTCCAGCCCCTTAAAATTATTCTTTAAATTTTTATTTTTTTATTTTGATGTTATGGGTGTTTTGCCTACATGTATGTCTGTGCACCACATGTGTACCCAGCTGGAGGCCAAAATGGGGCATTGCATCCTCTGGAAATGGAATTAAAGATTTTTGGTAAACCTCCATGTAGGAATTGAACTGGGTCCTCTGGAAGAGCATCTACATTAACCATGGAGCCATCTCTCCAACCCCACCTTCCTGTCTTAAATTGCTTCCTTTTGTTTTGTTTTGATTTGTTATCACAGTGTGGAGAAAAGTAATGGTGACTTGAGTCGAGAACCAAACATTAAAGTACTTTATTTTGGTTATTTCTTTAATTTTATTTATGTTTTTATGGTGCAAGCTGCTGAGGTGAGAATGTCTCATACCTAACCCAGCAGGCTTCTAATTCTGAGGAGGATGCTGTAGGAGGAAGTGATTTAGTGATTTCATAGTTAGCAGAAACGGAACCACTTAGAATGGAAGAAATCTGAAGCCCTATGGTAAGACAGATCCTGAGCCTGAATGAATGGGTACCTGTCTAGAGTGTCAGCTGTGGGTACTCTAGGCCTCAAAAAAGAAAAAGGAAAGAAAGAAAAAGAAAGGAAGGAAGGAAGGAAGGAAGGAAAGAAAGAAAGAAAGAAAGAAAGAAAGAAAGAAAGAAAGGGAAGAAAGGAAGAAGGAAGGAGGGAGGGAGGGAAGGAGAAGGAGGAAAAGGAAGGTAGAGAAAATTCTCCTGGGCTGAGCCCCACAGAGGGAAGACAGACAGATTGACAGACCCCAGACTTCTTGCTGACATAGTAGCTGTTATGGTCCCCAGTGACTGCAGTGGGCAGCAGGCCACGAGGGGCAGCACATCCCAGGCAGGGGGCAGCACAGTGGGTGAGAGACGTTGGCAGGGCAACCCATAAGAAGCCACAGCCAAGTGGGTAAGAGACAGAGACCTATTGGGCACGCCATGCAGAGAAAGTGGGCATTTATTTAGTGGGTTATGGAGGGTGAAGGAAAAGGGGAGAGGGAGAAGAGAGAAAGAGAAAGGAGGGGAAAGGGGAGAAGTGGGGAGAAGGGAGCGAGGCAGAAGCTGCCTCTTTGGGAGAGAGACAGAAAAGAAGGGGCTTGGGCTGGAAGCAGAAGGAAGATGGCTTGCCTCTGTGGACGTGGACGGGTGGTGGTGGGGCTTCCCTCTTAAAGGGAAAGGACAGACCATTACCATGGCTTCATTGCATTAGGGAAGTGGGAGAGGAGAAGTCCTTGAGATATTCTGTGTTAAGTGCCCAGGCTGCAGATGTACCTAAGGTGTGTGTGTGGGGGGGGGTGTGGCACACACCCCTAGTGGGACCTGTGCCCTGTGTGCTCCTTCTCTAATGGCCAGCCAGACTCACTGAGGAGCGAGGGTCCCTGAAGTGAGGCCCGCTGGATGCCAGAGGATGGGAAAGGGCAACAGAAGTGATGCTCCCTGAGGAGCAGGGGGTGATGAAATTGGCTCTCTGAAGAGGGGGTTATAGGGAGACAAGGACTGAGGGACCATGGAAGAAAGGGACCTTCCAGGGCAGATCTATGTTTTGTGGGAGTAGTAGAGCATCCTAGAAATGTTTCCATTGCATCATTTCCAGCCTGGTGGCCCCGTGGAGTAGAATTCAGTGCTGAGTGACACATTCCAGGCCTCTACACCGGATATGACAAGCCTGAGGGCAGGGTACTGCCCAAGGCTCCTCTTTGCCTCAGGAGAGAAGGCACCAGGCCTTCCTCCAACTCAGGACTCTAGATCCCTTGAGTCACACAAGCCAGAGAGGCTTCACAGCCGGGTGTGGGGTGAAGTGGAGGAGTGAGGTAACAGCTCTCTGAGTTGGCCTTGAAAGTGAGCGCAACTGGTGCTTGCTCCTTGGCCTGCTCAGGTGAATAACAATTGTTTTGCAATTGGGTTGTTCAGGAGGACCGCCAAGGCTCTGAGAGGTAAAAATCCCCCCCCCCCAGGGCGGGGCAGGGTGGAGGTGGGCTGCAGAAGAGACCAGGTGGGACTTTGTCTATTTATATAAAGGAGGTTAAGGACTGGAGAAGCCCAGCCTTGCCCAAGGCCAGACATCAGGAAGAGAATAAAAACAGCCACTTTACATCCGACTGCTAAGATACTGAGACCCTTTTATTGGACAGAAACTGCTTTGACTTGGAGGAGCAGCCATAATTCCCCATGCTCATCCCCGTGTGTGCAAAACCTCCGAGACAAGCCTTGCTGAGCTTCAGCAGACCAGGAAGTGAACCCCCAAGTGCTATCTACTTCCAGAAAGAGACATAGAACTGTTATCTTGGAATATATATTTGAATATTTTGAATATACATACACATATACATACATACATACACACGTTTATATGTTTTTATTTTATTTTTTGAGACAGGGTCTCTGTGTAACAGTCCTAGCTGTCCTGGAACTCAGTCTGTAGACCAGGCTGTCCTCAAACTCACAGAGATCCAGCTGTCTCCCAAGTGCAGGGATTAAAGTCATGTGTCACCACTGCCCAGTCACCTTTGACATTTGGGAGTGTAAATGTGGTATTCCTCCTGAGGATAGTAACACAAGCTGATTGCAGAAATTTAAAGCAACAAAGTCCAGTGATGTTGAGAAATAATTTTTAAAAATAAATAGGATGGTTGATATCGGCTATCCACTTGACACGATCTGGAATTGAGAAGTTTCTGAATCCCAATAAGCCTCTCCGTTGGCGCAGCAATCCAAGTCATACAAAATCAAACCGAATTAGAAAAATCCCAGGACAAAGGTTGAAGAGATGGCTCAGTGGTTAAGAGCACTGGCTGCTCTTCCAGAAGACCTGGGTCCAATTCCCAGCACACAACTGTCTATAACTCCAGTTCCAGGGGACCTGATATGATACCTTCATATCGATACACATAAAGTTAAATACATTATTAAAAAAGAAAATGCCCAGGTGATTTTTTTTCAGTCCTCCAGAGAAGAGACAAAAAAGAAAGACCAAAAACCACATGTCTGTTGGGGGGGGGGGCAGTTTAAATACCTTTTGGGAGTAGTCATGAACATCTCAGGGTCATCATTTGGTGAGCTTTCTGAGAAGTGGCAGGGTTTGGAGAAAGACAGGGAAAGGGGCTTGGAGTGGAGTTTCTGCCAGAATATTCCAGACTCTGGGTATATGGATGCCAGGGGCAGGGGTGGAGTTTCCGCCAGAACAAGAATGACCTAGCTAATAAAGGTCTGGGCATGACTGTTAGGGAGTGTCTAGGCTAAGTTCACTGAGATAGGAAGACCCCACTCTGAAGGCAGGCAGCACCATGCCGGCTCTGACCCAGCCCCTCAGGCTCCATGACTTCATGATGGATTGTATTCCCTGGAACTCTGAGCCTATTGTCCCTTCAGATACTTCTTGAAAGGTGTCCCTCACAGCAGCAAAAAGAAACAAGCAAACACATTTCTCTGTTATCTCTGTGAATTTCCTTTTTGTTTTTGTGTTTTAGAAAAGGTTCCTCTACTAGCCCTGGCTGTCCTAGAACTGTAGACCAGGCTGGTCTTGAATTTGCAGAGATCCGCTAGCCTCTGCCTCAGGAGGGATAGGATTAAAGGTGTGCGTTGCCACTGCCCAGTTAATAATTGTTTTTAACTAAATGTTATTTTATGCTAGAGCGATGACTCCAGAGTTAAGGTCAGTTGGTGCTTGCTATTCTTCCAGAGGACCACAATTCCATTCCCAGCACCCAAGTCAGTTGGCTCGCAATCGCCTGTAATTCAGTAATTCCAGGCCTCTGCAGGCACCTGCATAGACATATACACATAGATACAAAGAAAATCTTGAAGAAAAATAAAATGTTTGGTGTGCATGTACCTCTTTACAAGCTCATAGTCACTGAGCCATTTCTCCAGGCTCACCTACTTTTAAAAAGACTTAATTTATTGAAGCTTTTAAAAGGAATAAACATCACCAGGCGATGGTGGCACACACCTTTAATCCCAGCCCTCAAGAGGCAGAGGCAGGCAGATCTCTATAAATTCAAGGCCAGCCTGGTCTACAAAATTAGTTCCAGGATAGACTTCAAAACTACACAGAGAAACTGTCTTGAAAAAACAAACAAAAAAAAAAAATGTCAGGTGATGGTGGTACTCGCCTTTAATCCCAGCACTCGCCTTTAATCCCAGCACTCGGGAGGCGGAGGCAGGCGGATCTCTGTGAGTTCAAGGCCAACCTGGTCTACAAGAGCTAGTTCCAGGACAGAAAGCTACAGAGAAATCCTGACTCAAAAAAAAAAAAAAAAAAAAAGAAAGAAAGAAAAGAAAAGAAAAGAGAAGAAAAGAAAAAAAGAAAAGAAAGATTACTAACCCCCAATTTGTTACTAAAAATGTTACTATAACACAAATAAAGGAAAAGAAGGGTGACTCAGGCGAGCGCCTGGCCAAGAGCCAGGAGAGCCAGGTGGGACTGGCGCATTTGGTCATCCTGACACAGCAGGCAGCCTCTTCCTGTAAAATGTAGCAAGCGGGAACCAGAGACGTGAGTATACCAGCTTATGCTTATACAGTGCCTAGCCACGTGGAGAATTATTCTATTTTCTCCTCATCACTGATAAGACGGTAATGTAATCTCTCCATGTCCTCTGTGAACATTCTCCAAAACATGTATGGAGAACTATATTTAGATACAGATCTATGTCTCTGCCTACCCCCAGGCCTTGGCACAGCACCCCCAAACCCTGATCGAGAGATAGGGTGCTAGGAGAACCTCTTTGTTCTAATTTGTCGTCTTTGGCCCCAGTTCCTGACTCAGAATTCCTAAGACGTTTGTAATTTCCTGAGAGACGAGGCTGTCTGACGTAGATTCTTCATTCCCTGGGATTCTCTGGACGGCAGGAGCATCTTCAAGTTCCACTCATGTGACTCTTGCTGCTAATGGAAGACCAAGCCATGATTCAAAGGTTAGTCTCCCTTAGTGGGGAGGGGCCGGAGACGGAAGTGATATCCATCATGGTGTCCTCATATCTACACACATATCTACATCACAGAGCCACACTAAGAATCGCTGGTTCTGAGAACTTCTGGATACTAAACACACAGAGATGGCCAGAGGGCAGCACTCCCAGCGAGCTGTGGAAACGCTGTACACCTTCCTAGGTGCCTCACCCTCGGCATCCCTTCCACCTGTGTGTGCCCCATTATCTTCCCTGAGCTCTGTGAGTTGTCCTCACAGGTCAGTCAAACTTGAGGGGGGCTCAGGACCCCTTTATAGAGCTGTTCAGCCCTAAGCACAAGCCATAGCTTGGGTTTTACTATTGGTGTATGGCATGGTAACAATTATGGAGCCCCTCCCTGTTCCTGGGAAGAGCGTCAGGCCACACAGTAGATGAGACACCAGCTAGGGTCGGCTAGAGGATCGCTGGGTCTACAGGGTCAGGGCCAGCCCCACCAGGAGGTATCAGAATCCCACCATGTGTGAGAAGTGAGATATTTTGGGTTCTCTTGTCTTCATAGGTTTCTTGTTATGAGTTGATGTCATTTATGCAGTTTCCTCCCCCCCACACACACACACACACACCGCCCGAGACTGGGTTTTTCTGTGTAACAGTCCTAACCTGTCCCGGAACTAGCTCTTATAGACCAAGCTGGCCTCAAAACTCACAAAGATGTTTCAACACAAGAACCTGCTCGGAGACACGTACCATCCCTGCTTCTGCGCCACCTGCTTCTACCCCCACCCCTACCCATCCCCTCACCTCTACCCCCACCCTCACCTCCCATGTCCACAGAACTCATAGTATTGTTCTGTTGACATCTAAAGAGTCAGGGAAACGGGGAGGCTTGTCTTCATTTATTGGGTTGGGAAAGAGTCCCCATCCCCTATCCCCCGTGTGTCCCCCCATCCACCCACATACACACACACTCCCTGTGTCCTGGAAGGAGCTCACACCTGTCATGTCTAAGTAACCACTTCTGCTGTTTTGTGAATAGATTTCAGTCTCCTCAAGCCAGAGTGGTTTGACTGAAGTGGATCAAGAACACTTGATGGATAACAAGTCCTTCCCCTTGTCTCAATCCAGTGGACACTAAACCATACAGTTCTGGCCATTGTCCCCTGCGGCATCGAGGACCCAAAGGAAATCAGAAACCCGAGGGCCATGGCTGTCGGGATATCTGGAGACTGGCAGCAAAGCTGGAGCCCCTGGGAGGGGCCAGATGAAGCCTCTGCTCCCTCTGACTTCCAACCTAGCAGGAGAGGCAGAGGCTACCCCGTCAGCTGGGGGTGAGTGGGAGCAGGCATTTAAAACAGCTCCCCTCAGAGGCGCTTGGCAGTGCCTGGACAGCTTCTGGAAGAGAGAGAGAACAGCACTCCCCAGCCCAGAGGAGGGACCAGAGCCAGTGTGTGAGAAGAGAAGGATATGCAGAAGGAGGAGCCAGGGAGACAGTGAAGGGGATGGTGTCTCCCTCGCTGTTACTGAGGAAAACTGAGGGGAGATGGTGTGTTCTAGGACCTGTGTTCTAGAACCTGCCGCCTGAATCTGTCAGAGCTCTGTCAGATTGACAGCCTGGCTCAAGAGCTTGAGGGGATGGAGGCAGTCGAGACTCCATCTTGGAAGACAGGACTGGAGACATATCCTTGCTCAGGTCAGAGAGTATCTCATACAGGGATAGATCTCTCCCCCACACACACCAAATATCAATACTAATTTAAATGCCTCTACAGAGGCCACTGTATGCGGGCAGGGCAGCTATGTTAGTCAGATCTCTGTCACTAGAATGAAACGCCCAAGATAATCACCTTCTAAAGAAAAAAGGGTGCATTTTGACTCACAGTTTGGAAGGTTTCACCTTGTAATTGGTTGATTTGGGTCTGTGCCAGGGAAACCCATCATGGAAGGTGGTTCATCTCAAGTCAAGATTGAAGTGAAGGAGAGATGGAGATCCCACAGTACCTTTCGACAGTGTCCTGTGTGGTCTGGAGAATCATAGTTGTGCTTTGGGTTCAAGAGAGTGAATCTAGAAAGCAAGCAAAAGTACAAAAATAAATAGCAAGTAGCCAACAGAGGGAGGCAGCGGGTAGACATCTTTAGTCAGGCAGAGACGCCTGGTGTGGCCTGATGAGAGAGCAAGTGGGGGCAGAATTATCAAATGGGAGGCTTAGGACATCCAGTAGAAGCCACCAGGGCAGCAGCAGTCACAGTGGGGCTCCCCATTAAAAGGCTCCCCACCAATGCTGCCCCTACCACAGTACGTTATACCCCAGGATGAAGGCTGGTGACCCCGGCTGGGAATGGTTCACCTTCTACCTGTCCTCGGGAACACAGTGGTTTTACTCATGCACTGTTTGGCTCTTTTCCATTCTCCCTCTCACAGAACCAGGGAGGACACTGGACAGGACGTGAGTGAGTCTGAGGCCAGGGCATGTCATGCACTTAAGTCTGTTTTCGATAAGCTTAAACAGTTTGCAGCAATTTCCCAAATCAATTCATAGCACAAAGAGCATCGCTGAGGGACCTAAGTGTCCACCTCTTAGGAGTTCCACACACCCCCATAGCACCACTAAATGGCCCAGATCTTAACACAGTGACCTTTAGGGGACATTTAAGACACAAACTACACCAGAAACATAAGAATATGTGGATTGCTGGGTCCTGTCGCAGACTGGCAACTTACAGACTCTGTCAGGACAGCTGGCAATGATGGCGGCACTTGACCCCGATCTGCACTCACTGAAGTGACTCCAGAGTCCAGTGTCACTCCTCAGCATTGTGTCCTGTCAGTTCCAGCCCTGCTGTCCTGAGTTTGTGTTCCTCTCTTTCTATCTGTTCCTCAGTTACTTGCACAGGTGTTGATGAGACCTTAGGTCATTTTGTATCACTAAACAGAATGTGGATATGGCTGCCCAACATGAGGCTAACTGAAACCACAAAAAGGCTGAGAAAGCTTGGGAAAGAGTAAAGCATGCATGTTTTCTTGGTAGCAACAATTTTTCGTGTCTACTCTGCTTGCTAGAGGTAAGCAAGCACTCTCATCTAAGAGAGGCTTCCTGACTCAGCTTCAGCTGCAAAACCCTGCAGCTCATTAAGAGGTCCTGCCACGAAACACTTAAATGGTGTTGACGAAAAGCTGAACGCATGCTTTTCGGTTTTCAGCTGTAGCAGGAAAAAAGCTGTAACGTTTAAAAATGCTGGCTTTCTGGGCTGTCCTGCCAGGGCGAACTCTGACTCTTTTACGCAGGCGGTTCGTGCGGTTTGCAAGCACAGGCTGCTGTAGCTTACTTGCTGGCAGGGACCTTGAAATGCCATAGAGTTGTGGCAGTAAACTTGGCTACAGCCTGTATATCTGCCATGAGGCTGGAAAACTAAGGAATGGACTGGATCTAGCTGGCAAAGCCACGGCTTTAATCCTACCCATATTGCTCAATAAATTAAAGACTCATGTGGTCAGAAAAACAGAGAGAGATACAGTAAAGAGAGCGTCAAAGACAAAGAAAATTTTTAAATGATTTACAGTGTTAAAAATGTATGCAGACTAAAAGTTAAAATTCTTAAAGTAAAAAAAAGTAAGAAAAAGAGAAGTCTTGTGTGGTAGTACACACCTTTAATCCCAACGCTTGGGAGGCAGAGGGAGATTGACCTCTGTGACTTCAATGTGTGGTGGCACACGCCTTTAATCCCAGTGCCCAAAAGGCAGAGACAAACAGATCTCTGTGAGTTCAAGGTGTAGTAGCAAACACCTTTAATCCCAATGCCTGGGAGGCAGAGACAGGCATATCTCTGAGAGTTCAAGGAGAGCCTGGTCTACAGAGTTATTCCAGGTCAAAGAGATACAGAGAATATAAAATAAAAGTAAAAATAAATGAAATAGACTTAAAATAAAGTTGCACAAAGATGGAAAATGCATAGAGAATATTGATACTGTATGCTATTATGCTCTCTTTGAATTGTTTTAAAGCTGAGGAAGGAGCAACAGATGCTAAAAGATATTTGTTTATAAATGCTGCTGAACTAATCCAACGTAGAGATTTTGATGCCTTGACTTTGAAATTTGGATCTAAGGACATGATGCTTTCGAAAGGAGTTTCCTATTTTGTTTTCACAGAGGATGAGACCCTGTTCATTTCTTCTATTCCTATATGGAATGATAGACCACGCCCTCCTGAATGGTTGCTGTGAACTCCTTCAGAAAATTGCTTCGCTCAACTGCCAACTGAGATGAAACTAGCACACAGGTTATACCATGAAAGACCTAATTAACGACGCCCCCATTCAGCAGGAAGCAGTTTGGAGAGAAAAAACTGCACCCATATTCCCAAATATTGTTTATAAATGTTCTTTTACATTTAAAGGGGGAGATGATATAGGTATGAATAACTTACATTGATATGGATTTTGCTTTAGTGATTTAAATTTAAGGTCAATTTTGTAATGTATATAGGTTGTTAATGAATAATCATTAATAATAGTCAAGTTTGTAGTCATGTTAGTTAGATTTTCTAGATATATAGATATATATTTCAGTTAGATTGGCATTCTTCATATCTTTCAAAGACTACGGAATATGCTATTAAATGTTTTTATAACTTAGGACTTTTCATAACAATGAGACACTCTGTTCCTGGCAGCACCAATCTACTTCAAGAGGAAGATGGGCATCGAAGAGGATCCTTATGGAGTTTGATAGCCATTTGTGCAAGAAACTGCTCTTGCCTGGACTATTGCATAAACTGGACACAGAGAACCCGCAGAGAAAGGACTACTGAACTTGCCTAAAGGTGAGATGACCTTTTGGGGTTCCTGATTCATGAAAGAGTCTGCAAGACATTCTTCAGGACAAGCAGATAGTGACTGCCTTTGAAATTTCCTGCTTTGTGGAAATGTCTTCTGAAACTATGGGCCTGTAGGCCGAAGATGGATGCCCCAACGGTACAGAGGAACTTTGGGTGACTGTCCAGGCAGTGAGATGTCTCTGTCATTTCTAGAGATTTGGATTTCTTGTTTGCTTAGGTAATATTGTATCTTTCTGGACTCTTTGATGGAGTTAAGAATAGTTAGCTATAGTTATAGTTTTCCTTAGTTATGATATAGATTATTGTAATTTTTACTTGATAACTGTTTTGTTATATGTAATTTTGCTCCATTAAAGTTAAAGCTTTCTTTTTTTTTTTTTTTTTGTTTAAACAGAAAAAGGGGAAGTGATGTGGGAGTGTCATATCAATCTGTTGATTTCATTGGCTGAGCAATAAAGAAACTGCTTGGCTGGCCCTGATAGATTAAATCATAGGTGGAAGGAGTAAACAGAATAGAATTCTGGGAGGAAGAGGAAGTGAGGTCAGACTCTGCTCTGCTCCCGGAGAGACTCGACAGCTCTGCGCTCTGGAGCAGAGACGCCATGCTCCACTCTCCCAATAGCTCTGCTCTCTGAGGCACACACGATGAAGCTCCGACCCAAGATGGACATAGGTTAGAATCTTCCCAGTAAGCGCACCTTGGGGTGCTTACACGAATTATTAGAAATGGGCTAGTCCAGGTGCGAGAGTTAGCTGAGAAGAGGCTAGATATAATGGGCAAGCAGTGTTTAAAAGAATACAGTTTGTGTGTTGTTATTTCGGGCATAAGCTAGCCAAGCGGCTGGGGTGTTGGGGACGCAGCCCCGCCGCCGCTCCTATTTCAACATGGATATGTGTGTCATTTGGCAAACTTAAACTTAAAAAGAGATGTTCAGGCTGGGCAGTGGTGGAGCACGCCTTTAATCCCAGCACTCGGGAGGCAGAGAGGCAGGTGGATCTCTGTGAGTTCGAAGCCAGTCTGGTCTCCCAAAAATAAAACTGTGATTTACATCGAAATTCACAGGAAAAAACTCCATAAGCTTAAGGTTTACTCCTAAATAGTGGTAGTTTGTGCTCTCTCTCTTGTGGCAGGAGAGTCTTTGGAGAAACATTGTTCTTTCTCCTCTCTGTGGCTCTAGCTCTCTTCATTTTCCTACTGGTGAAAAGCTGGAAGTCAGGTGGGGACTGATGTCCATCGGGAGAAGGGAAGGCAGGGGCCTCCTCCAAGGCGATCAGGAAGGCACAGGTAGACAATATTGTGGGTTTTGGTGGGATTGATAGGTTCCCTCCTTGCATCCTATCTTTCCATTCCTCCTCTTCCTCCCTCCTTTCCCTCCCTCCTCCCAATCCCTCCCTCCATCTTTCCATCCCTCATTCTTTCCTCCCTCCCTCCATCCCTTTGGATATGCATGGAATATCTTCTATGCGATAGGGATGAACATGTGTGGTACCCAGTGTCCTGGCAGCTCAAGATCAGACAAGACACCAAGCCAGCCTGGGAACAGGGAGGGCTTCCTGGGTGAGCCGAAATTGCCACTGAGTCTGATAGGCTCAGATGTCACTCAAGAAGTAATATAATATATGGGGGCTGCAGAGGTGGCTGAGGGGTTAAGAGCATTTGCTGCTCTCCTAGGGGTCCTAAGCTTGGTTCTTAGCACCTACTTTGGGCAACCCACAACTCCAGTTCTGGGGTCCCTAGCACCCCCGCTGGCCTCTGAGGGCACCAGCACTCACCTGGCATACACACAGAGGGACATATAAATAGAATAGGGGACCAGAGAGATGACTTCGCAGTTTGGAGCACTTTGCTGCTCTTCTAGAGGACCCAAGTTTGATTTCCAGCATCCGTGTTATGTGGCTCATAATTGACTGTAACTCCATCTCCTGGGGACACAATCCCTCTGGCCTCTGCAAGCATTCACACACACACACACACTCACACAGACTCAAGTAAGCGTGATTAAAAATAAAGCAAATCGTTTAAAAGGTAAAAGCCAGCAACAACAAAAAAGTAATAGGTACAGCTGACCACAGGAAAGATAAGGGAGATGGGTTTAGAGACTCTCCAGCAAGAGACAGAGGAGGCACACGGCATCTGGCCATCACCCACCACTGGCCAAGCCATTCCAAGATTGATTGATGAGCTGTACGTCCTCCCATGTTGGGCAGAAATGGTTTCTCCTTTCATCCTCTGCCTCTAGCAATGATCATGCCCTCAGAGTCTGCTGAGGCCACCACCCAGCTGACCCCACTATGGCCACCATTTTGTCTTGAATCCAAAGGGCCTTGATAATCTTTCTTCAATGGAGCCTGGGATTTGGGATTCAGTCTTGGAGTGTCTTTGGGACTCCAAGTATAATGCTCTCTGAAATTCCTGCCCCCCTTAAACATTTTATTTGTGTGTGTGTGTGTGTGTGTGTGTGTGTGTGTGTGTGTGTGTCCTGTGAGTGTAGAGGTGCCTGAAGGAACCAGTGGGTGTATCAGATTATCCAAAAAGTTACAGGTGATCGTGAACTGCCCAGGGTGGGCATTGGGAACCAAACTTAGGTCCTCTTGAAAGACAGCAAGTGTTCTTAACTACCACACAATGTCTCCACTCCTCTCTACCAAGTCATAGAAACTGTGACCAAGTGCAGCCATTCTGACAGTGTTGGAAAGCAGTCACTAAAGCCAATGCCAAGGCCATCTCCCAAACAGGATGTATGGCCTCTTCCTGGTCTACAAGTGAATGTCAAAGCTAGACACACAGTAGAACATCACACCCTTTGAAAAAAAATTCTTTGATCAACGGAGTATGTTTGGTAAACTTGCCCAGAGTTAAACTAATTGGTTTGGGAGCAGATACAATCTCCCAAGGTGTTCTACTACTAAATTAACACTGGTCAAGGTGTTTGAAGTTCAGAGCAGAGCAGATTCTCAGAGAAGCCCATTTGAATAATTGGCATCTCTGCTGTTCTCAGCACTGGCTCCCCACAGCCAACCTGCCTGAGGAGATGAAAGAGTTCCCTTGACTGGTCTGGCTGCACTGGCTGTCGCTGTGGATGGAGGACTGGAAATCTTCAGGAAAGGAATAGGTCTCTCTCTCTCTCTCTCTCTCTCTCTCTCTCTCTCTCTCTTTCATTTTGGGGAAACAAGAAGCCAAGGTGAAGCCTGTGAAGCTGAGGTGGCAGGCAGCAAGTTTCTCAGCCCCAGCACTGTGTAGATGTTGGGCCTGGCCATTCTTTGTTGTTGGGCTGTCCTGGCATTGAGTCATGTGACACTGGCCACTGGCCTTTGGTGTGATCCCTGACCTCCACCCACTGATGCCCAGGCCACCTGGCCAATGTGTTGACAGCCAAAAATATCTGCAAATGTTGCTCATTATTCCCTGGGAGCCTAAAACTCCCTGATGAGGAACCACTGGACTCTCCAACATCTATAACTTCCACTTTGTCAAAGAAGGAGTACTTCAGCCAGGCGGTGGTGGCGCAAGCCTTTAATCCCAGCACTTGGGAGGCAGAGGCAGGCGGATCTCTGTGAGTTCGAGACCAGCCTGGTCTACAGAGCTAGTTCCAGGACAGGCTCCAAAGCCACAGAGAAACCCTGTCTCGAAAAAACAAAAAAACAAAAAAACAAAAAAAAGAAAGAAAGAAAGAAAGAAAGAAAGAAAGAAAGAAAGAAAGAAAGAAAGAAAGAAAGAAAGAAAGAAAGAAAGAAAGTTAGTTCTTCTGGCTACTTACCTTGAGCTCTGGCTCTCCTGGAACTGCTTTGTAGACAGACTAGCCTTGAACTCACAGGATCCGCCTGCCTCTGCCTCCCGAGTGCTGGGATTACAGGGGAGCATCATGCCACTGTCTGGCTTGCCACTTATCTTTTTTTTTTTTTTTTTTTTTGATTTTTCAAGATAGGGTTTCTTTGTAGCTCTGGAGCCTGTCCTGAAACTAGCTCTTGTAGATCAGGCTGGCCTGGAACTCACAGAGATCCGCCCGTCTCTGCCTCCCGAGTGCTGGGATTAAAGGTTTGTGCCACTACCACCCAGCACCACTTATCTTTTTAATGGAGGTTTAGCTTGCAGTCCTCAGGGACTGATCTGTGGTGTTAAGCTTGGTCGCCTAGACTTTGAATCTGTTATGTCCCTCATGAGACCTCAATAAAGGCTTGTGGTGGCTTGGATGGAGCCTCAAGGTCCCCACCAGGCAAGGTGGGGAATACCTATCCTAGCCTTATTGTGGAGTGAACTACACATGGTGACAGTAACCACACGTTGGCTACTGGTGTTGTGTCTACACTTCTTCCTTTAGTGCATGCATCCCCAGGGCCCAGGCATCTACCCTGCTACAACATCTTTTTGCTATCATGGAACTCATCCAAACCTTAGAAAGAACTAGAAGGATGTTGCCTCTGTGATATGTACCAACGTTCAGGGGACGCTGTGGGCCTTGGAGGCAGTCAGGCCAGAACTATCCTTAGTTTCGTCATTGTCCAGAGCCCAGAACCACCACTCAGGGTCCTTTACCCCTCAGTCTTTACCTTCCAAGGCAGGCTCACAATGTGGTAAGATCATCCACTCCAACAAGCCTCTCCAACAAGCCTGCAGCCCAGAAGGCGGCGGGGTCAGTGAAGCTCACCACAGAGCAGCGGTGATCGGCACCGAAAGCTGTTGTGCCTTGCCTGGGTTCTCTCCAGTTGTGACAGCAGGCAAAACTGGGAGAGCTAGGCTCACAAAGCACCGGTCTGTGTGTGCACCCCCATTCCAGAGTGCTGGTATGCCACCCTGCAGGGATCAGATCGCAACCCCCGTGGGGTGCTCTGGCACAGTATTCCATTTCCCAGAAGGCCGTGTTCTTCCAAGTCAGATTACAGAGAGTCCTGAGACTATGAATGGGAACCTCTGGAGGAGGTTGGAGGTTTTTCAGCTTGGGATTTGTCCTTAAGGAGCCTGAATGGCTGGACGGTGGTGGCACACACCTTTAATCTCAGCAGTCAGGGAGGCAGAGACAGGCAGATCTCTGTGAATTCAAGGCCAGCCTGGTCTACAGAGTGAGTTCCAGGACAGGCTCCAAAAGCTACACAGAGGGAAAAGATCCTGGATGGCTTAAATAGCTCAGTGATTCCAGGGTACCTGATATCCTCATACAGATTTTTCTGGAGCTGGAGTTATAGATGGTTGTCAGCTGCCTTGTGGTTGCTGGGAATTAAGGCCAGGTCTCCTGGAAGAGCAGCCAGTGCTCTTAACTGCTGAGCTGTCTCTCCAGACCCATTACTCTTTTCTTAAAATTATGTAAAATTGTGTGTGTGCGCGCGTGTGTGTGCATGTGTGGGTGCGTGTGCGTGTGTG